GTTTTTTTGTTTTTTTTTTTTTTTTTTTTTTAAAGATGACCGGAAAGGGGATCTCAACCCTTGACTTGGTGGTGTCAGCACCACGCTCAGCCAGTGAGCGAACCGGCGATCTGTATATGGGATCCGAACCCTCGGACGGGAGCGCCGCCGCGCTTCCCAAGCGGCGCACTATCCAGTGCGCCACCGGGCTGGCCCCTGGAAAGGGGATCTTAACCCTTGACTTGGTGTTGTCAGCACCACGCTCAGCCAGTGAGCGAACCGGCCATCCCTATGTGGGATCCGAACCCGGGGCCTTGGTGTTATTAGCACCGCACTCTACCGAGTGAGCCATGGCCGGCCCGGTTTATTTGCTTTTTGTGTGTAGTTCTAACATTTAGGAAGGTCTGTATTTTTGGTTTAGTAGTTACCTTTGTAATTATCTGTATTTTTGGTCTAGTAGTTACCTTTTTAATTATAACTTCCCCCCAAATTCTTTTTTTTTTTTTTTTCAAAAATCTTAAAATTTAATAATTTGAGAAGGACATGTCTCAGTGTTGCCTTTTCCTGATCACTTTTTCCTAGTACTTTTAACCCACAAATTCAAGTCTTAGGGGATGTTGTTCCTGAATTACATCTTTCAATATTTTTTTTGTTCCATCATTTTGGGTTTCTTTGAGGGTTATAATTATGTTTACATGGGATCTCCTTCCCTGTCTTCCATAACTTGTTTTCTCCAAACAAATAAACAAAAAAACATCTCTTTATTCTTATTCTGTTTGTTTTGCTTTTTTCTTTCTGACCTCCATGTCTCTTATTGTGTTTTCAGCAGTGTCTGTTCTCTGTGCTGCTGCCAGTTTTGTCCTCATTTATGTAATGGCTTTCATTTCTTCTTTTAACTTCTTCCTTGAGCTCCGTGAACTCAGGTTTCCTCTCCTATTATTTTTCATTTCTTACTCTGAACTCTTGTATCTCTGCTTTGTGCTTGATTCAGTATTTTTAAGTGTCATGTCAACTTTTTTGATAAGTGTTCATCTGCCATTTGTTTTTCCTGTTCCTTTATTTTTTCTTGTAGTGTCTTTGTTTTGCTCCTATGCTGCTTTCTTATTGCTTACTCATCTTTGAATGAGTTGAGATTTTCCTGGACTAGCTGTTTGCAGGAGGTTCATGCAGGAAAAGGGCTAAGTCTGTGTTCTAGGTTAACAGGAGTTGTATGTATGAGTTTTCAGGTTTTTTCCTAGAGATAGCTATGGTAAAGTTTCATCTTTCCTCTTGCCATTTGCTTTTTGCAAATATGGCTTGTCTGGGATTACTCATTCAACCTTTCTTTCTCTGCTTCGCAGAAACGGCACATAAGCACCAGCTGCCATCTTGGACACTCCATTCCTAATATTGCAAACAGTGGAGTCTAGATTTGCACCTCCGAGTATGTGCTTTACCTTAGAAGAGTAGACTTTTCTGGCCCTTTCTGAGATCTGCAGCCTTAGGCATCCTCTCGCCACTTCTTCCTGTACCTCCTGCTTGCTTTTCACTATTTTTGCCAGTTTTTACAGCTTATGTTTGAAATTTCAGCTGCCTCCTAGTTTTATCTAAGCTGGAGTTTATTTCTGTTGCCTATTTTCTTTGTTTCTTTGGGGTGTTTTCTGAAAGGAAAAGAGGAGATATGCTGACTTTGAACCCCATTATTCTTTCCAACCTTGCTGTATATACAGTCATATGCTGCATAATGACATTTAGGTCAATGATGTACTGCATATATGACAGTGGTCAGAGCAATAAGCTGTACCATATAGCCTAGGTGTGTAGTAGGCTGTAGCATCTATATTTGTGTAAGTACTCTTTCTTTTTGTACAAGATGAAATCACCTAATGACACATTTCCTCAAAAAGTAATCCTGTTGTTACTCGACGCATGGCTGTGTATAATTTTTCTGTTGAAATCATGTAGAGAGCTTTTTATTTGTAATACTAGGAATACATTTTTGTTGATGATGTGGGACTAGGTGTTCTTTATTCTCCCCTAGCACCAAAACTTTATGTATGATTTTTATGATTGGGGGCAGGAAATGTAGAGATGCTCCTTCAACTCCAAGCCTCTTCTTAACCTTCTTCCCTTCACCCTGCCCTAAGCTTTGAATAAGGGCTTTATAGAATTAGGGCTAGAGTTGAGAAAGACTAGAGAGGTTCGTATGGATGGATGTAACCTTCAGAGAAATTATTAAGTAAAGAGTTGGGCCTTTGAGTCAAGTTGGTGATAGTATGAGAGAGTGGAGATAAATCCAAGGGGAATGTAATAATGCAGCTGGGCAGGGGAAGTGCTCTGAATGGGTGACACTGAGTTGAGAAATAAAGGATAAGAAGGTTTCCCAGGTTGCTAATTTTTTAAATATTTTGTTTCCATGTACTATAAATGACTTAAATTTGGATGTGAAGTTAGATTTTTTTAAAACAATATACTTGATTCAGTGCTACAGAAAACTCCTTTTTCCTTGATTTGTAATTATTAAGCAGAAATGGTAAAGTCAGAATCAGTGGTCAAATCAGAGTGAGATATCTTTTAGCAATTCCATGCTATAATATACATTTTCAGTCTAACTTTTATTTTTATGTTCTGTTTTTATTATATAGGCTAATTAAAATGATCGTTCAGTCTTTTAAGAAATCATACTGAATGGTTTTTTGTTTAACGTAATAAAATATAACATTTAAAAGCTTTAAGATTTTTATGATAATGTTTGACATTAAGATTATTTTCTCACGGTGTCCTCCAAAGCCCTGTGTGATAGGGCTCTTGCCTCACTCTAAACTCACCTTGCGCCACTCCTCCCCTGGCTCACTAGGCTGGAGCCACACTGCCTCCTTTTTGTTTTTCAGACTTTCCATGATATTTCCTTTTGGGGTCTTTGCAGTTATCCCCTCTGGCTGAAATGTTTTCCTGTGTTGTTCTCTATTGCTGATGCTTCTTACCTTTAGTTCTCAACTCAGTGTCACCTCTTCAGAGATCCTCCCCTACTGGGCTGCTTTATTATATTTCTCTTTGTTTCCTTCATAGAACTTACCAAAAAATGAAATGGTCTATTTTACTTATTTGAAAGTATAAAAATGTAATCCTCTTGAAGGCTGCCACCTTGACGGTCTTATTTACCACTAAAATATGATGTCTAGCACTAGTTCAATATGTATGAATGAATGAATGAATGAGAAACCAAACTTAACTGGCTGATTCTGTGCCTCTTGATTTGTTTATACATAGATCTTCCTCTAATTGACAGCCTGATTCGGGTCTTACAAAATATGGAACATTGTCAGAAGAAAGCAGAGAACTCTGCAGAGTCTAATGCAGAAGAACATAAAAACTCTGATTTAACACAAGATGATTTACATTTGAAAATCTTAAAGGATATTTCATGTGAATTTCTCTCTAATATTTTTCAGGCATTAACAAAGGTAGGAAAGAAGTATTGATGGTTTTCTCAGCAAAAAAAAGTATGAATTGCGTAATGCTCGTAGATTATTACTTTGCTATTATTTTGAATATAAAAGTAGTATATTATGTAGATTTGGGAAAATAAAGGAAGAAAAATCTTTTTTATAAAAAATTTTTTAATTGAAACATAGTTGATTGTACATATCTATGGGCTACAGAATTGAATATCAATACCTATGTGCAATATGTGATGCTCAAATCAGCATAACTAGTATATTCAACATTATACAATGTAATCATTTTTCGTGGCCCCTTACCAATTCCTCCCTTACTCCCACATTCCCCTCACCTCTGGTAACCTCAGTTATGTTCTCTTGAAAGTTCACCATGTTATTGTGATTGTTGTTTCTTTCATTCTTTTTTATTTATTTGTTTATTTTTTCAGCTCCCACTTATGACCAAGGGCATGCGGTATTTCTCTTTCTGTGCCTGGCTTATTTTCACTTAACATATAAGTCATCCATGTTGCTATGAATGACAGTATTTCATTCTTTTTATGGCAAAGTAGAATTCCATCATGTAAATATATACGTTTGCCCTATCTAGTCGTCCAGTGGTGGACATTTGAGTTGGTCCCAGCCTGTGGCTATTGTAAATAGAGCCGTGATAAACATGGGAGTGACGGTATCCCTTTGACATGATGATTTCCATTCCTTTGGGTATATACCTAGCAGTGGAATTGATGGATCATACAGCAGTTCTATCTTTAGTTGTTTGAGGAACCTCCACATCGTTTTCCATAATGGCTACACCAATTTACAGTCCCAGCAACAATGTAGGAGGGTTCCCCTTTCTCCCCATCCTCACCAGCGTTTGTTATTCTCTTTTGATAACAGACAGTCTTTGATAATAGCCACTCTTTTTGATAACAGCCAGTCTAACTGGGGTGAGATGATATCTCAGTGTGGATTTGATTTCCCTGATGCTAAGTGACGTTGAGCGCATTTTTTTTCATGTGTTTGTTGGCCATTTGTATATCTAAGGAAGAAAAATCTTATGTATAACCTCAACTTTATAATCTTAAGCCACGAACTGATGTGGTTTGGGGTGTGTGTGTGTATGTGTATGTATACCAAATATATCAGTACGTTTATGTGTATATATGTATGAGTGCATCTTTCACATACTTTAACCCAGTATGTACAGTTTTTATAGACTGCCCTTTCCACTATAACACTATATTATATATGCATTTTTCTTGACTCCAGATGGATTCACTGAAAGACATCTTACTGAGAGCCAGTTTTTTTAATACACAATTTGCCAAGTAATCACTTTTCAAAATTTACTGCAAACTCATTTTAAGGAATATTCTTCCTGAGTGTGTCCAGTGATTATCAGCATATTCTTCCTTCATGCATATTCTTTCTATCCATATATTTAGAAAATATATTTATGGATATAACTGTGAAGAATATATTCATACCCACTGAATTTTTTTCAGGAAGAATATTCCTCAGAAATATTTCTATTATTTTGGTGAATTGTTATTTTCCATATTTGTATTTTCCAGATTTGGGGTATTACCTTAGCATATGTTTTTAGAAGTTAGATTACTGGGTTCAACATTATAAATGTGAAGATGACTGAAGCATAATGGCTACATATTGCCAAAATGCTGTTGATTTGAAAATGTTGATTTTACTTGACCCTTATTATTGTGTACTATAATTTTTATATCAAGTAAAGTTAAATGGGTAATAAATTGTGCCTTATTTTGATTTGCATTTTTTATTATTAATGAGGTTGAACATCTTTTCATGTATTTGTATATATTTGTGTTTCTTGCTTTATAAATTTATCCATTTTGATTATTTGTATGAGCTCCTTGGATAATATATATTTTGCCTATTCATTGCAGGTATTTTTTCCCATTCTTTACTGTTGCTTTTATTTTTTTGGAAAGAGGGACACAGATGTTTCTTAATTTTTAATTGGCAGGAATATGGAAGGAAAGCGGGCTGGGAATAAACCAGGGATATGTCATGAAAATTCTTATATGCCATACTTAGGGAATTTGGACTTAATCTTGAGGAAACTGAGGCACTACTAAGGATTTTTTCTTTTAAGTATCAGTGATATGATCAATTTAGATTACTCCAGAAGCAATAGAGAAGAATTACAGACAGATGAGTCTGGAGGCCAAGAGACCAACCAGCAGGCTCTTGTGGTTGATAATATTCGAGAATAATCTTAAAAATAATGAGAACCTAAACAATGGAAGTTTGAATGGAAAGGAGAAGTGCGGATGAGAGAGAGATTTAGTAGAGTAGAATTGAACACTTGAGGGGAGGAGTCAGCAGAAGGTGAGAAGGAAAGGTCTTGACTGTGCCCCAAGGTTGTGGTTTGTGCAGCAGAGTGGGTGGCGGTGCCCTTCACTAAAATAAGGACTAAGTGGAGAACATGTTGGGGTTATGTAAGTCTCCTTGATGGTGGTGGGTTCAGTTTGGGACATTAGAAATGCCTGTAGGACCAGTAGGGAATTGTATATACTAATTTGCATTTATTCACCAGGTATAGATTCAGGAAGTTTCCTTTTTTGACATCAAATCTTCTTGTTGTTTTAGGAGACCGTGGCTCAGGGACTAAAGGAGGGCCAGTTCAGCAAACAGAAGTGTTCATCTGCATTTCAAAACCTTCTTCCTTTCTATAGCCCTGTGGTGAGTATGGGTATAGGTAGCAGAGTTTCACAGGGTTACTAAATAAAGTGTTTTCAAGTAAGCACTTGACTATTGAGGTCATTGTCAAAAAAGATAGTGCATATAATTCACACAATTTAATGCCTTTGTTGGAAAGATGACTGCTAGGTAATTCATAGTACTGGCCTGAGTAACAGTTCTAAGAGGAAGGAATCAGCACTGAATTTATAGTACCCTTTCTGTTATGAAGTAGACAGCATACATATTAAGCAAAAGTAGGATTCTTAGGAATAGTCAGTAGGTTTTTATGCTTCTTCAAATGACATCACATTTGCTACCATTAGAGGGAATTTCAAAATAGAAACTTTTTTAGGAAAACAAAATATGGGATGTGGGAGTGAGAGGACATGTTAGCAAGGAGGATAGTAATGAAATGCCAGTAATGGATCCTAAAGGGGAAGCAGCAGGGGAGGATAAGTACTAGCTCAGGAGGAAAACAAAATGGTAAGGGTTAGTCATTTCCTTGATGTTTTAGAGGACTATTCAGGAAGTACTGCTATTGTCATCTTGGGGTCTGTCAGTGTTTCTTTTGCATTGGGCTATTTAGAAACCACAAGTTTGTTTCGACATTTGCAAAGTCAGCAATTAGTATCACCTTTTCCTCCACTATGTTTGATTCTTTCATTTGCCTCATAGGTGGAAGACTTTTTAAAAATCCTGCAGGAGGTTGATAAGGCCCTTGCTGATGACCTGGAGGAAAGCTTCCCAAGTTTGAAGGGTCCGACTTAAAAACTGAATTGAACTTTCTTCTGTACAACAAATAAACTTTATTTTCATTACTAATAGTTAAAATTGACACGTAGGAAATATTAGATAAAGCCCATATTAGGCCATAATTGTCTTGTATTACACTCATGCCTTTCTTCCTCCCCCAGCCTTATCTCGTTTTTATTTGGCATTAAAATTTCACCACTATCACCCCTCCCCCCTGCCATTTTTATATTGGTTATATGGTACTTATCATTTTTAGTTGAAGAAAGCAAAAATAAAACCATTGAGGTTCTTTTTAGGATATTTGAGGGGTAGGTTAATTTGATTTTTATGTGAGAATTTTGTCTTTGTATCCACTACAAGTGTATTCAGCTGTAGTAACAGAAAACTCTCTTACAGTAGCTTGAGCTGATGATGGCTTTCATGTATCTCAGGCAATAAGAAGTCCAGGGTGGGCAGTCCAGACATGATAAGATGGCTCCTTTCATCTTTCTGTGTGATCTGCCATGTGGACCATTGTGTTCATGTTTATTGTCTGTGGTTAAGGGGGCTGTGCCATCTCTGGGCTTTTCATCCACACTCAGGGAGGAAAAAGGAGAAAGAGGCAAGGGGCGTTTCTCCTAGCAAGTCTTTACGTTTTTATTTGGAAAGCACAGCCCTCGCTGGCTAGAACCTTGTTGGATGACTATCTGTAGAGACGTGTGCCATCTCTGGGCTTTTCATCCACACTCAGGGAGGAAAAAGGAGAAAGAGGCAAGGGGCATTTCTCCTAGCAAGTCTTTACCTTTTTATTTGGAAAGCACAGCCCTCGCTGGCTAGAACCTTGTTGGATGACTATCTGTAGAGACGGGTATTTGAATCACATACTTTTTTTTCTTTTCCAGCCTCTATATGAAGGGAAGGCAAGAGAGAAGGGAGATGTGAATGAGTTTTGAAAAGCCAATCCATGGGGCCGGCCCGTGGCTCACTCGGGAGAGTGCGGTGCTGATAACACCAGGGCCCCGGGTTCGGATCCTGTGTAGGGATGGCCGGTTTGCTCACTGGCTGAGCGTGGTGCTGACAACACCAAGTCAAGGGTTAAGATCCCCTTACCGGTCATCTTTTAAAAAAAAAAAAAGAAAGAAAAGCCAATCCATGGTGTTTGCCACAATATGCAAATATATTTTAGCCAGTTTGCGAGTGTAATTTTTGTTGATTCCTTGCCAGATTGTTAGTAACAACTCAAAAGCAGTTATTGCTGTTAGTTTAGCTTTGTTACATTTCAAATTTTTTTTTCTATGTTGTACTTATAGAAATGCTAACATTTTTATAAAGGTACATTAACAGAATTATCTATTTTCAGCATAATTCCATTGGGTGATTTTCAGAAAATGATTTGCTTGTGAATTCAGATTTTTAAAAGTAAGATTGAGGGAGTTTAATAACTTCTGATTTTTTACCAACTGCTCCATATATTACACCTCATACTTTATTGTTCTTTATAGTACTTCCTAGTGAAGTGTATTCAGATAATCAACCAGGTGCACTTACAGAAGCATCCAGTTTACATTATTTGAGATACTAAGTTGAATTTTTAATAGATTTTAAGAAAACGTAAGTTATGAATAAAAATTCCAGCTTTTTAAACCTCTCTTTTGGTACAGCCCTTTCCCAGTTTATTTCAGAATCTTTTTGGCTTTAAAGCATTGGTCTTGACTCATACTTTGTTTTCTTTCCTTGAGAGATTTTTTTCTGATAAAACACAGGAGATAGTGTTATTGGTAAGAGGTAATACAGTTTCCAGTTTGGAGCTAGTTTGTTGAAAGTGTCAGTGCTGAATAGAATTGGGCTAAAAGTAAAATCTTAGTAGTTGAAAGTCTGATTGGTAGGTTTATAGTATGTAAACAGTATGTCCTCAGTGCTGACTTTTTGGTGTGCTGAATGTGACTATTTAACATGCAATTTCAAAGACACTGATGAAATCACTCTTACCTGCTAGTTTATGCTAAAATTCCACTCTTGTTATTTTTTTTAAGTTTAAAGTTAAGATGCTATAAAAGTAATACTTCAGGTTATTAGTTATGTATATATTTTCATAGTATTTTGATATGTGTGAAAACTTCCTAAATCTATAAATTATAATAAATCGTTTTTTAAAAAACAAAACCTGGAATGTTAAAACTTTTTAAATGCTACACAATCTGAAGAATTTACACAAAATTTAGTGCTTGCATCAATTGCAGTGATATTTTGAAATGGTGCTTTCTCCAGAAGCATAAATGTAAAATTTGAATTTATATGTATAAATGAAATTCAAACTCATTCTTTTCCGTATACTTTTTTGCAGGGGAGGGGGAAAATTACAAGAGGAATCTGAGTTAGCATTTGTTACATATATGTCACTGTATTTCCAGTTAAATTTGAGTTTGATATTTGAAGTATCTAAACCTCTTAGAAAGAAATGGTCTCCTTCTGCCTCCCCCCCCCCCTTTTTTTTAAAGATTCATGTCCTGCAGCTAATGGGATATAACTGTTTTCTTTGCAGATCCATCTTTCCAGATCAAAAGACTTTTTTCTACTCTAACATTTCCCATTGCCTTAGCTTTGAATTAGTTGCTGAATAACTTTGGCACATAAGTGGGAAAAAGTTTAAAAGCTGATTCTCAGCCTATATACTTTTTTTGATGAAGCACATCTTGCAGAAACCAACTGTAGACATTAAGAAACAACCTCTGTCTGGCGTTCAGAAAATCTTAAGCGCATGAAATGTTGAGCACCATTTTCTGTTCTGTAGGACAGGGCAGTAGTGAAGCTGCCCTTGATGCTCAGCTGCTTTCCAGCTTCATGTCACATCTCCTGCAGGTCCAAGCAATAATTCTTACTTTTGGTGTCTGTGAGATATCCCTGAATCCCTATAGTAAATTTAACTTATAATAAATTCCACTTGAGACATAGTCATTTGCATTCCCATTCTTAAGACAGAAAATGGCACCAGAAATGGGATTATAAAAGAGACAGACCAAGAAAATGTGGAAATATCTGTGGGGTTACAGAAGGGTAGGAATCAGGATAGTGAAAGTCCCCCAACCCTGATGAGATAGAAGCCATCCATGATATCAGGTTCTAAAGAGCCAACTGATTTATTGCTTATGTGCCCTTGAAATCTAAACCACCTGCCTCACGGCTGAGGAGCAGGATTTTGTGTAAAATACAGTGGCAAAGAGACTCTCCAGTCCTCAGTGGCGTATCACCATGCTAAGTGTCACCTTGAAGGTAGTGAGAAGCTTAAAGTGTCATGATCACACTCTGAAAGCCTTATGAAGGAGGAGGGGATTGATGTACAGAGATTTAGCAGTGGAATCAACAGAATTTGGCTGTTGATTTGAGGCAAGGGAGAATGAGGAGTCTGAAAATTCTAGACTTCTGGCCTGGTCAACTGAATGGATAATGACAGCATTCTCTGTGGTAGGGAAGGTAACCCAGGAGGAGATACAGTTAGGGAAGGTGGGTAGAAGATGAGGAGTCTGAAAATTCTAGACTTCTGGCCTGGTCAACTGAATGGATAATGACAGCATTCACTGTGGTAGGGAAGGTAACCCAGGAGGAGATACAGTTAGGGAAGGTGGGTAGAATATGTGTTCAATTTCGAATATGTTGAGTTTTAAATACCTGTTGTACATTCACATGGCAGATGTCCAATTTCCATATGGACCTGCTACTGTGGTGAGAGAGTGGGGCTAGAGACAGATTTAGGACTTAGGACAAATTCCCAAGGTACACAAACATTTAAAGGACTAACAGTGTCAACATGAGAAACAGGCTATACTGGGAGACATTGGACTAAATTGGGAGAGATTTACAGTTTACAAGTGACTGGATTCACAGGGAAACACTCTGGAGAAGCTGCACTCCAAATTCACCATTTTCACCTTTGAAAGTGACTGCGCCTATCAGGGCTCAGGAAAAACAGCTCTGTGTGATGCATTGGTATTGGATACTCAAAATTACAACCTTTCACAGAAAGGCTTTCCTATAAGGATTGTGCATTTCACACCCATGTTTGACAGCATGTATGGCATGGTGGAAAGCACATTTTTTAAAAAAGGACTAACACATTGTATATGACATATGATTTTGATTATGTTAAAACACATAAAATATTGAACAGAAATAGATCATATCAAACAGAAATAGATCTCATTAATGGTGAAAAGGAAAAAGTGGATTGATCTAGGGTCAGTATGACCTCGACCAAGTCACTTAATCTTTCTGAGCATCTTCATCTATAAAAGAGAGATGATGATGTTAAACTCTGCCTATGTTACAGGGTTATCTTAAGTGTTAAAAGAGTTCATATAAAAAGCACTTTGGAAATTGTAAAGGTCTATACAAAGCTCACATATTAAGGAGCTTCCAAGCACTAATGTTTTATTCCAGCGAAATCTGTTTCTAAGGGGACCTCACCAAGATGATGTTTGATGTTTGTTAAAATGAATTGACTGATAATTTTTTAGGTTTCTTGAATGAGATCTGAAAAGTCTTTAAAAATCTGAAAATTGTACAACCAAATTTATTTTTCACTAGAGATAAACTAAGTGAAGATGCACTGTGCTCAATATTTCATTACAAATTTGATTTGTACAGGGACATCAAGAGTTCTTTAGCTGTGGTCCTACAGTATACCTTTTGCTTCTTCTCAATAACTGTACTTCCCTTGTGAAATGGTTTTAAGTTAACTTTTAAACACCAGCTTTCTGTGTTCCACTGCTAAGGCTACAGCTTATATTTATAAAAACTTTTCTGCTTGCTAGGATACCTCGTTAATTTACATACTGAGCTTGTATCAATATTGGGCTTGTTGACCTGCCGGCTGTTTAGAAATTGAAGCCTTACCAGACCATCTGCCAAACACTAGCATTGGAAATGCTTTTCTCTAATACTGTAATGAAATCACTAAAATCATTTCCTGTTCCCAGTCCTTGTTCAGATCTTCTATCTACTGTCAATAAGAGGATATTAAAATACTCAGCAAAGTACACATATCTTCTTCATTCTGGTCCACAGTGTAGCACATGGCTTTGTGTTTTAATGATGG